TTTTATCTATCTACATCTATAATTCTTAAAATGTGTACATTTATGTGTGATTGGAGGTTTATGCATTTCCAAAGTTTTCATCTGATTTCAATGAATTCTTTTTCTTTTTTGTTTGATAGATAATTCAATTATTCAGTGCGGTTTTTGAGTCCAAATTGTTGGCGACAATGGCTCTCCACTACTTCTTGACCATTATAACTTTCACCAACTTTTTACTATTCACTATCTGTTCTTGGATATATGTCTTTCATAAATACTTTAATGAAAATAAATACTTTAAATTATTACAATAATATTATTTGTATTTATAATTCTTAAATGTGTGTGTGTGTGTGTGTATGTGTGTGTGGGGGGGGATTGGATATTGTTTATGCATTTTTCATCCGATTTTTTTTTCTTTGATAGATAATTCTTCAGTGTCGGTTTTGAGTCCAAGTTACACATTCCCCTTCTCTTGGCCAAGCGTCCAATCTCTCTCAACTGAGGTTACCTTTTCCATTGCATAATGCCTGCATTCTCGTTTATAGCCATCCCCAATTTAATTTTTTTATTGTCCTGCCAGTTTTTGCATTGTATTCACCATAGTAATAAGTAAGCTTGCTTATTTATTACTCATTTATTTTGCCAGCCTTTTCTAAAGTTATTTGAGCTTAGAGATCCCTGTAGCTTTACTGTGTTCTCTTCTGATATTTGCCCACACATTCCATTTGGCAATTCATACTTGCCTAAGACATGCCACCAAAGAAAAGAACTTGCCTAGATTGCAAAACCGATGCCACCAGGTTCACTATGTGAATACGAGATAAAGAATCGTCTTTGGAATGTTCAGTTTGCTTGTCTCGAAATGCCTCTCGGAATTATGTCCCTTATAGAACTTAATAAATTTTGTTTTTTGTTATTTCTCCCAAACCCTGCTCGGCCATCCATTTGCTCAAGCCCATCAAGTATGTTACGCGCTGTTTTGCTCCGACCCTTTTTCCCGCTATCTGACCTGTGAGGATCAGAATTTCCAAGCCCTCCTTCTTCATTACGTCTTACAGAAATTTCAATTGCCTCTTTCTGATGTTAATTATAATTTTCCTTTTTGTTTTCATTCTTTTCAATACCTCGTTGCTCACACATTTTGCCCATGGTATCCTCAGCATTTGTCTGTAGAACCACATTTCTGTTGCTCCTAATTTCTTCTTACTTATCTTTGTGGAGATTGTCCTGATTTCGCTGCCACTCATGATTACTCCTTTCTTTGTTTCCAACAAAATTTTCCTGTCTTTTAATACTTTGATTATCTTTTGGAATGCGTCTAGACATTTAAATTTCTGTACCTGTCGGCTTATAGTATCCCCGACCTGTAATTTGCATTTGGGGCTAATATTTTGGCTGATGAGCATGAATTCTGACTTTTATGTGTTTTATGCATAGTCCCTTCTTCTCGCTCTCCTTCACTGTCTTATAATACTCAAACTCGACACATATTTTTAAATAGCCTCATAAAATCTAAACTCACAGATGGTTGTGGCCTTGTTAGGGCCAGAAACAAAGACACAATTGAGGAATTGAGTTAAACAAATATATTAATAGAAACAGTAATACAAACATATACAAACGAGAGTGTTACAGCAGAAATGCTCGGCCCGACGGTCAGAGCGGACTGCTGGAAGCTTCCCTCTCCAAAAGGCAGTACCTGCTCCTATTTATAGCTGGAAGAGTTCATGCGTGCGTGGGTAAATTACCATAACCAGGAGTGTCAAGTATGGCGTACAGTTTGTTCTCTTATTTATAAATCCATATCATATCATCTATGTAATACAGATTCACTGGAACTATGATAAAAAATGGTATCAAGCGAATGAACTGTTGCTGATTTCATAAGATTTTACAAACTGGCGCTGCACAATCACAAGGAGCTTCACCAAACAACAAAGACACATCACTTGAAGACAGCAGCATGAGCTGAAATGGATAACAAATGTAACGAGAAGAAAAGATTAATGATTTAAACAAGCTGTTAAGTTTGCATACAACCATAAAAGAAAACTTCCATTGACTGCATAATAAAACTTCCATTGACTGCATAATAAAACTTCCATTGACTGTATAATAAAACTTCCATTGACTGCATAATAACACTTCCATTGAATGTATAATAAAACTTCCATTGACTGTATAATAAAACTTCCATTGACTGTATAAATTTCAACCGACAATAACGCAAACTATTCAATTAATTAATGCCGAAATTCTCTTCTATGTAAAGGAACTTAGAATTTCACAATTACTCTTAACATTATATTCCTGGCGGGGACTTTTTCTTTAGTCCTTTGGTTGTTTTCGGAAACTACGATTGAAAATATTTTGCTTGTCACTATTGACAGATATCAAACGGTTTTTTAAAAATTGTTGTTTGTTTGTTATTATCCGGGGAATTATCGGAAGTCTCTGTAGAACTTTGTTATGTAGATACATTTTGTAATGACAAAAATGGCTCATCATCATCATTCTCGGCGCTTGACAAATGATAAAACTGATTATTACTGTCGCTACAGCAACATTTCTGCTGACCTATTCTTCGGCCAATTACATTTTGCAGGGAGTGCTTTTCTTTTCTACAAAAGTTTAGCCAAAGGTTGGCTAAAAAATTAATCAGCGATCGAAAATTAATCATCTATCTATCTATCTATCTATCTATCTATCTATCTATCTATCTATCTATCTATCTAATATAGGGTTTATAGATTTAAATGATAACCAAAAAACATTATTTTAAAAGAGGCTCTAAATGGAAAAATAATATTTATTCGCAAATGATAACATAAGCATGTTATAACATATAACATGATTATGTTATCATTTTTAAATATCTATCTAATCTATCTATCTATCTATGATATCTGTTTCAACTTTTTAAATATCCTTTTTAAGGATGGAAAAATTATTGTTGATCATATTCTGAAGTGATACTCCAAAATTTCGTGATTAAGAACAAATCTTAATCATCTGCAAATTCAAATTTGTGGATCCGTGTACCAAATTGAGTTAATTTCTGAGTTTATTTAATCTCCGATGCAACAAAATAGTTTAAAATAATGGAGCTGGGGCAGATTTGTAAATAATATAATTCATACTATAAATGCAATGTGGAAATCATATAAATATCATTTTAAATGTTTAAATATACGACTTGATGTGTACAGGTAGAGTCTATGAACATTTCATGTCAGTTTTTAAAGTGTGTTATTTGTAAATCTGTGTAGTATTTTTTCATGTCAAAACTAATTTTATGCTCGCTAATTTTTATTTATTATTTATCTTTTAGCGGTTTTAAGCACGATATACATCATAAGGCGTTTTCTCTTCCATTTGTATTTTTATTTAATTTAATTTTACTTTTTCACAGTTATAAGCATAAAATAGATTTTTTTTCTTTCGTAATTTAGCCAATTTAGACAATTATTTCCTATTTTTGTATATTTTATTTGTCATCATAACATGTACATACTGTATTTAGATAGTCTGTTTTTTTGATCATCGCTTTATATCGTTGGGATGTTGTTATAATTTTTCTTTTTCTTTTATCTTTTATTTTCTTTCTTTATTTTTTTTTTATTAGTTTTGATCTCGATGGATATCATAAATCTTTCATTCGTATTTAATTATTTTCTTTATCTTTCTTTTAACGGTTATAAGAATATATTCTAAGATTTTTACCATTCCTTTCCTAATTTAACTTATTTCAAGAGTATTTCCTAGTTTATTTTATCTTAACCGATTTCATAATTTGGAAAAAGAGAATTTTTTTTAGTTTATTTTAATGAATATTGTTGTGTATTTTATCTTTTACATTATTTTGTACTGTTAAGAAAACACGGCATTTATGGAGACTAAATAATTATTTGAAATATTGAGAATACGTCAATTTAAACAGTAACTGACCTGTAATAATGTTAAGAATCAGGTTAAACGATATTTATAAAAATTGTGATAGTAGGGTTGAGATTCGATTCCCGCCTCCAGCTACAAATAAAAAAAAACAAAAAAAACAAAAAAAACAAAACCGTAAATTTTTAGAGTAAGGCATCAAACCTTACTTAGGAAATAACAGAAAGGATTTATTTTAAGAACGTTAAACTGACTCCTCGGTTATCCATTAAAGCAGCTATCCACCACAAAAAAAAAAAAAAAAAAAAAAAAAACAATACAGTTATATGGAGTATTTAAAAGACAGTTCGCGCAGTGGATTGGTTGATTCCGGTGCGAGGAAAACGTGGTCTATTTTCGTCCAATTTACTAAAAAGTCCAGAGTCTCTGCTAGCGTTTGATTAGGAGGGGGGAATCAGAGATTGATCTCCCCTGATTGGGTCGATTTAGTGGTGGGCAGTATGATGTTGAAAGACCCGAAACTCCCTGATGAACCAAGTCAATTTACATCACTGACGATTCCCCCGCCCACGGCGCCTATTTAAGATCGTATATTTGAATTAATGAATATGGCATTTTCCTACAATTCTGAAACGGAATTCCCTATACGTATAACCCCTTCCTTGGTTCCTGCTATCATCTCTAAACAGGATCCCCACAAATCATGTGGACTTGATGCTATCCCTGCAATATTTATAAAAATTAGACGCCCGAAATGGCGCCTGTTGTCTGTAAACTCTACAATAAATACCTTGCCGTTTCCTATCATCTGTTTGTTGGAAATCTTCTACAGTCTCCATTTTTACGAACTCGGACAGACAGTGTGATACTTCTGACTATTAGGCTTCAACATTTTTTTTTAGCAAAGTACCAAGGTTAATTGATCCGAATTGGTTACGCATTCTATAATGCTAAAATGGCCCATAATTATCATTTTTGCCGTTTTACAAATGATAAAACTGATTATTACTGCCGCTACAACAACTTTTCGGCGGACATATTCTTCTGCCAATTTAATTTTGTAGGGAGTGCTTTTCTATTCTACAAAAGTTTAGTCAAAGGTTGGCTGAGAAATTAATTAGCGAATGAAAATTAATCATATCTATCTATCTATCTATCTATCTATCTATCTATCTATCTATCTATCTCATTCTTGTTCCTATCTATCTACCTATCTATCTTATTTTGTCACCTGTTTTTTCAGAAAAAAAAAAAAAAAAAAAAAAAAACAAAAAAAAATACATTCGCTTTCACTACTTTAAAGGTCAACCGCTGATCTGTTGATGGTTTTTGCTAAAAGAATTTATCAAGATTTAGATGAGAAAATTGAAACTCGCGTTGCTCTGGATACCGCGAAGTGGGTTTTCATGTTGCCTGTTTTACCCCTTCATGTCCTTAGCTAACTTCGACTGAATAAATACGGACTACTTCTGTTATATCAGTAACTGCATTAATTCATAATGTTTTTAATAAAATTACTTTAAAGTAACTGAAGAAGATAGACTCTGTTACATTTAAACATGATGCTGTTTTCCTCCATTCTAATTGAACGCTTTTTCTGCTTGACTAGCGGGTATAGCTGCTAACAAATTAATAAAAACATTGTGTTCTGCTTTGATAGAAACACTGAAACGTATAATATCGATGTTTAAAACCGTCATCAACTGAAAAAAATCTCAATTTCTCTTTTCGTTCGCATTAAGATTCCTATTTTCGATTTAAACGGCTCAACGTCGAACCCCCATCTTGGGTCCTTTTGATCTGTACGCCATGTTTCAGTAAGATTCTGAAAGAAAAAGGAAACAAAAAAAGTAGCCGGAGTGCTTATGCATTCTGTGACTCATTTGTCCTTTAACATCAAAGAGGAAATGAAGATTTCAAAAAGTCAAGAGAGTCCGATTCTTTAAAAGAGATTTAGCCTTTATCTTGTGGAGTTTAAGCATTGATCTCGTGAGGAGATACCTTTTACTCATTTAAAAAAAAAAAGGTTGAGAGTTGCTTTGTAGACAAAGAGAGAAATCAATAGTTCTTATAATTCTTCTGCGAGAAGGTCATCCATAAAAAACAATTAAATTTTAATGATCTACAGCGAGTATACGATGAAAGGTGGCATTCTGTTCATGAAGACAGAGCCTCAGTATTTAGTTCTCTCTCTCTCTTTCTCTCTTTCTATTCCTCCCTCAATAGTTTTATTCCTTTCCTTCTAGTCTTCAACCTTCTCACTGCATTTCCCTACTAATTATTTCCTCATTTCGTCAATTGTCTATCGACTTCATTTGAGCCGTCTGAGATTTATCAGGACTTAGCTCACAGCACATTCGGTCAGTCTATCTATCAATTTGAAAACCTTCAAGGGGAAACGCTGTACTTCTTTCAAATGAAACACGCCATATCTTATTTTTGGTATCGACGAAATGGTGTCATCATCTCTTGTGGGCTTTGTCAACATTATTAAACGAAACTTGTTGATGATTAAACTTATGTTTATTTTTCAGTCTAGTTACGGCGAATATGAAACATTACATTAGGGAACAATCTATCTATCTATCTATCTATCTATCTATCTATCTATTCATTCATCTATCTATCTATCTATGCATTCTGTATGCCATTCATCCATCTATCTATCTATCTATCCATCCATCTATCTATCTATCTATATATGCATTTTCGCTATTCATCTATCTATTCATTCATCTATCTATCTATCTATCTATCTATCTATCTATGCATTCTGTTTACTATCTATCTATATCTATCCATCTACCCATCATGCATTTTGTTCCCTATTCATCTATCTATCTATCTATCTATCTATCTATCTATCTCATTCATGTTCCCCATTATCTATCTATCTATCTATCTATCTATGCATCTATTCTATTCATCTATCTATCTATCTATCTATCTATCTATCTATTCATCTATCTATCTATCTCATTCTGTCCTTTATTATCTATCTATCTATCTATCTATCTATCTATCTATCTATGCATTCTATTCGCTATCTATCTATCTATCTATCTATCTATCTATCTATCTATCTAAGTATAGGGTTGGTATAGATGGAATAATATTCTGATAACCAAAAACATTATTATTAAAAGAGTGCTCAAAACCGAGTAGGGCAAATAACATAAGATTGTTATAACATCATAAGTTACGTCATAACATGATTATCTTATAATATCTATCTATCTATCTATCTATCTATCTATCTATCTATCTATCTATCTATCTATCTATCTCATTCTGTCCCCTATCTATCTATCTATCTATCTATCTATCTATCTATCTATCTCCCGATGGTAAGGTTATAGTTATAACACACTCTCCTACTCAGTATAACGTAATACGTTAAACTATTCTCTATACGTAATACGTATGCTCTTGCGGTACGCCTGTATAGTTTATATGATGACTGACTCCAATAGGACTGGTATTTATCGGCCGCCCCGTTGCGGACTAGATGCGACACAATGTCAATTTTTATGTGGAAAACCCGAGCTTTTCCCCCCGGGTTACTGTACGCTGTCAATACGAGGACAATGGCCCTGTTGACCACCGACGTGAAATGACGGAAATTAATTGGGATCAGCAGGGAAACAAATGGAGGAATCCCTAAAGAATTTGAAAATTGGGACCAAAGAACTCGCCCGAATTTCGAGGTGTAGCACCAACAAAATGAAACCGCTACAACATGGCCCCAGTGGGTAAAAGTGTTGGTTGGATCCAGTGACTAGACCCAAAATGTTTTAAGTTCAATACCTGGATACTGCAGTGGGAAAAAAAAAAACTTGAAGAGTTGAGTTAAAGGGAGATAACTGAGACATCAGGAAGAGGCATGGTACTTGGAACTAGAACAAACCATCCCGGTGAACGAAATAAAGGGTTCAGTTCGAAATTCCAATCACTTGAAGAAGGCTGTAGTGTACAACGGCTGAAACATCGTGAATATGGCCACAACAATTAGGAAAACAGTCGAAACAATGTGAATAAAGTAAGCACTTTACTTCGTGGCGTTTCTCTCTCGGATCCACTTCTCATTCTTCTTTACGTTTTCTTTTTCTTGAAATTGTTCTTGCTGGTTCCACGAATTGTTTTAGCACTGGCACATCGAAAATGTCGTACAGCAATTTAACCGCTTCTTCAGGTCTTTCATCAGTTAATATTTTCTGCACCTGATTTTGGTGCCTTTTATGTTGGAATTTTTTTCCATTTCCATCCTTGTAGGCTGTAAAGAATACTTTACTGCCGACCTTGAAAGCATTGGTATTGCTTTTATTCATCGTTCGTGATTTTCGACTTGACTTTTCAATAACTTCTCGAACACCGATTCGACCATTCTAGCAAACATTAATTCTGTCGGTGACATTCCTGATGGTGTGATGGGATTAGGTGTTAGCCTGTACACTCTCAAAAGATTTTGAAGTGCGTCCTCATTTACTCGTTCTAATGCTGCGAATGGTACTCTCAGGTTTGGTTAAAGTACTGGGGTCAAAACTTTTTCTTACTTGGTAATTCGCCTTGGATTTTGAACACTGGCCCGGTTCATTAGACAGAACACAAGGAAAACATTTTTATTGTTCTTCCTTCAGTTTTTTGCTCTGGTTTTAAATTTTGTTTCGTATCCGCTTACGATTTTACAAAACATATTACACCTGGTTTTCTCGGAAAAATATAATTGCAGTACATTTCGTACACTATGGAAGGGTATATTTCTTAAAAAACAACTTGGTTTTTTTTATCTTTTTCCCTGTCACTACATTCATGACTCAATATTTTTTTAATGTCTGCAAAAATACACAGCAACAGTCAGTCCGTTATCAGGATTGTACACAAATTTTGATACGGTGTTTTGCAGCGTGTCTGGTGTAAGAGACGCTGAAAAATGTTTTTCTGTCTTCTTCTGTACGACATTCATTAACTTCAGTTTCTTTTTTTTGTAGTTCCAGCAACTGCCGATTATTCTGTTGCTGTTTTTGTAGTTCCAGCAACTGCCGATTCTGCTGTTGCTGTTTTTGTAGTTCCAGCAACTGCCGATTCTGCTGTTGCTGTTTTTGTTGTTGTTGCTGTTGAATTTCAACTAGGAAAGTGAAAACTTTCGCCATGTTCGCAAGAAATATTTTTTCTACAGACAGGACAATTTTTTTAAATCAACGTGGTTTAATTTTTTGCCGTCACCCGAAGCCAGGAGTATATTTCTTACTTGTTTTCTAAACAACAAGTTTCTTTCGTACTTGTTGACTTTGAACGTGTTTCTGAATCACAATGGGTATAAATTGTCTGAGTCTCAAATCCCCTGTCGTCATTACTGCAACGAGGTTTTGTTGCGAAGATAATCCATCTTAATGCATCGTGTATTTCGATATGAACGTCTGTGTTGTTTGTATGACAGTCGGCTTCAAAACGACTGTCTGCATCTGATACGACTGGCTGTGTTGCATACGTATTAGTTGCAAGTCACCCTTTATTATAACTATAATTCTTAAGTGGTACTTTTACACATTATGTTTATCTATCTATCTATCTATCTATCTATCTATCTATCTATCTATCTATCTATCTATCTCTTTCTCTTCCTTATCTATCTATCAATCCATCTACCTCATTCTGTTCTTTATCTATCTATCTATCTATCTATCTATCTATCTATCTATCTATCTATCTATCTATCTATTTCTGTTCATTTCTTTCTCACCCTGTTTCTTTCTAACCCTCTCTCTCTCTTTCTATTTCTATCTCTACATATATTTAGCAATTATATTCATATAGATTAAAAAAAAAATATTGTGTCCGTTTGCATATAAACCCGTTTTCCCCAAAATTCCAAAAAGTCTATCAGGTCAAAGAAGTATCTACGTTGAGCATCTAGACTACCGTTAGATTAATCTGGTAATACGATATGTAAATTGGTGTCTTATAAATCATCAAATACGTTGGACGAAAACAAAATGAACGGTGGCCGAATGTGGCTGTGAAGCCAACGCATTAAGAGAAATAACTGTTATTCAGTTTCAACTTTTTTCAAATAATTCGCAGAGATATCAAGTCAATCTTGAAACAGCGGGTAAAAAATCAAACTTTACTCAAGTGAATGGGAACGGTGTCATTTTTCAGAAGTTTAAATTGTTGGCAAATTGATGTCATTGAAGTTAAATACGTGCAAACAATAATATGGCATCTAATGAATTCAAATGGAACAACAGCTGATTTATCTTCTGTTTTTGAGCACACACACACACACACAAATATGTATATATATATATATATATATATAAAGGAGAGATTAAAGTTGTTCCAACGAGAAAAAGATATATATATATATATATATATATATATATATGAAGAAATATAGTTTTACGGTGCTGTATTAATGGGATAAAGTGCTCAATATCAGAGACAGAGCAAAATATAAAATATAAATATAAAAGTGAATACTGAAGTCATCGTCAGGTAGTTTGACGATGACGACTGGCATGAACCCGTCTTCGCCTCTGAGTGTTGACTTCAATATTGACTTATATATATATATATATCCGGGAGTAGTTTATGGCATTCACCTTTGCATAAATGGCCTTGGAATGTATTATTGCTTCATATTATTGCTTAAAAATTATTATATTATATTATATTATATATATATATATATATATATATATATATATATATATATATATATATGTACATGTGTGTGTGATCAGAATGCGAAAGATAGATGTAAGTATACTGTTGATTGCCGATAAACGTTTTACTAAATATATATATATATATATATATATATATATATATATATTCATCCAAATATATTAACGCCTTTATCCACTAAAGTTAGATCCAATGACAGGACCAAAGAGTGCGAGTTCAATACCCAGTTAAGGCAGTAGAGAACTTGGAGCGGGGAATTAACAGGAGATAACTGACATCCATTAAACATGGCACGTGGAACAAGAACAGTCTACCCCAGTGAGCGAAATAAGGGGTTCAGTTCGACATTCCAACAACCTGAAGAAGGCCGGAGCGTACAATGGCCGAAACGTTGTGATAAATACGGCGACAAAGATGAAGACAATTGTACGAATAATGTAAATTGTGCAAAAATATCGAAGGCAAAAATAATATAGAGGAATCCCACCCTAATAGCCATTTTGTAGAGAGAAACCAGAAATGCATGGACAGGGGACAATTCACGACCACGAGAAACTTTAAATAATCAACCCTTCACCAAAAATATTAACACTCATATAAATAAAATTCCAAAGTAAACGATTAAAATTGACACCAACACCCCAAAAATCAAATGTAACCTAAGACTATCAGAATAGTTTATGGAAGAAGAAAACAATGTAAATCACGAGTTAAAAAAAAAATCACCTCCCAAAAGGCAGAAATACAGCCCTTGATGTATTTTGCAATTACATCGCGAACTTTCCATTAAAGGAATTGGAAATGCGCCAAACAAAATCCAACTTCAGCAGACAACAATAGAATCAACTAAACGATCTAAAATTGGAAAGAATTTCCGTTATCAAAGAAGCTGATAAAGGAAGTACAGTTGTTATTATTTCACTCGCTAAGCAAATCTGTACAACAGTCTCAAACCCAACAAAAAGATCACAGACGAGAAGAGTTTTGAAAAATACTCCCCAATAGAAAATACGCACAGAATTTAATCAACAATAATACTAAAAGATCAAAACAAATTAATACCCACGTACTCCGAGAAAAGGATGATACCATATAACTCAACTTTCAAACAAAAGAACATAGAAATGTACACAAACATCCAACTAAACTTAGCTATCCTAAGAAAGGACAAAAAAATTAAAGACATCTTGGCAAAAATACCCAAAACACACTTGGGGCTCGTATAACAAATGCCACATAGTAGTAACTGATATTAAAATACAAACAACGAAAGGTCCTGGCGATAAATAAACTACAATCTCAAATGCTTCCTCCGGGTTATGATACCTTACGCCCCACGTCCGATCGCTGACACAAACCCATTCTCATTGACAAGGCGTCTACAAGAGGAGGACTGACATTGAAAATAAATTTAAAACAATGGTCCGAGACAGACACTTAGGGGCTGATTATAGCCACGTACAGAATTTATATATATATATATATATATATATATATATATATATATATATATATATAATTATTTTTACCTATGCTATAACTCTGGCGGTGTTAAAAACAGATAAGGCAATTTGTAAATAAAAAATTATTAAACAAACTGATATTTAGGAAAAAAACAATAAAAAGAAAAGGCTAAAAAACCGTACTGCTTGAAAAAATCAACCAGTAACACAATATCTAGACAAAAGAAAAATATCGACAGCCTTACCTAAGCTGATAGGTAAAAGTGCTCAATACATTAAGTTGAGAAAATTTGTATATATATATATATATATATATATATATATATGAAGAAATATAGTCTTAAGGTGTGCTATATTTATGGGATAATGTGCTCAATATCAGAGATAGAGCGTGTGTAAATATAAATCGTTATCTATCTATCTATCTATCTATCTATCTATATATATATATATATATATATATATACAGAGAGAGAGATAGAGAGATTAGTTCAAATGTTATTTTTAGTTGTTATCCATATTTGAGTAGATGTCCCGTTTTCTTTTTTAAATGTTTACATTTGAAATTAATTGCTTGTGAAAATATTATATAAAATTATCTTGATTACAATTAAATTTTGAAGATAAATATTGGCTACAAAGAATGGCGTCGGAAATGAGTTCCACGTGCGAGAAGTTCGTGAAAAGAAACTGCTAGCATAGAACTTACGGCTTGAGACCTTGCCGCTAATATTAAAAATGCGCTTAAATTCATAAAGTCTAGGTTCTAGACATAGCGGACATTGCCATGTTGTATTTATTGAAACGGGTCATGAAGGTAACTTTACGGCGGTGAGAGATTTACTGAAGACGAGATGCCAGGTCATCCGAAGTAATTGATTCCTCTTTGGATTTTATTAAGGAGTTCTAAATATATAGCAGGAATATCAAGCCATGTGTGGCAGCATGGACGAATGCAGATATGTCAGATAGATTCAAGAGAGATAAAAATGTCTACCACGATACAGTGAATCAACTTCAGTTGACCTAGCAAAATTATAATGTAATCTTTCCACATCAGAGACTATTAGCCTGAGAAAACTCGAAAGGTGTTTATCCTGGAGGTCAGCATCGGCCATGCTGATGGAAGGCAGAAAGGGGTCTCTCAAATGATTAACAGAGAGCAGTTTTGTTTTGGAGGAGTTAAAATTAAACCATTCTTTCCCCCAGTTGTTCTCGAAAAGAACCTACAATCTGTGGTTGATTGGGACAGGAAATGACTTTAATGTTTCCAAAACAAAACTGCTCTCATTTAGCCGGCAGAGAGAACCCTCTCTGCCTCCCATCAGAATGGATGATGCCCAACTCCATGAGAGCGCCTCTCTGCACTTACTTGGTCTCACGCTTTCCACTGACCTGAGGTGGAACAACTACATTGAATCAATAGCTTCATCTACTGCAAGAAAAGGTGTTTTCTCCGTGTCGCGCCATAAGGTTTTTCTCCCCTGAGTCAATCCTTCAAATCTACAAATCAACCATTCGTCCTTGCATGGAATACTATATGGCCTCGTGCCCTCGCTGTTCATCTCGAGATCCTTAAAAAAATCCAGAGAAGGATATACAATATGATAAGTCCTAATCTGGCATCTCGTTTACAGTCACTCTCTCACAGATGTGCTGTGGCTTCCCTCTGTCTTTTCTACAAATATTTTCATGGCAACTTCTCTGGCGAGCTACTTTCACTGGTGCCCTAAATGCATGAATTTAAGCGTGCTACTAGGTTGTCACCTCGATCCCACCCTCTCACTGTCGAAACATTTAAATGTAACCGCCTCTTCTACTCCAGCAGCTTCTTATCTCGCACTTCCTGTCAGTGGAATTCTCTTAGTCCTACTTGATTCCCTGGTAGCTATAGTGTTGAAATATTCAAATGTAATGTCAATCGTCATCTTCTGATGCCTTGATCCTGATCCTCGTCCTTCTCCATATCCTTTCCTCAAACACCACTCTTTACTCCTGCTTTCTGTAACCCCATTGCGTGCTAGTGGAACTCACGCCTTGCTTGGGGTTATTATGCTTAAAAAAATTAGTAAAAACTTTAGAACATTTTTTAAATCAGCCGCCAATTTGACTTCATCAAATTGATCAGACTTAGTATCAGGCAAGAGTAAATAGTCATGTCATCAGCATAGATATCAAGCTGAGAACTGATGCCATCAAGAAGATCGTTGATGAAAATTTAAACCAAAGTAGGACTAAGGATAGAGCCCTAAGGGGACGTTTGTATTAGTACAAAAAAGATCTAGAAGAGTGGGCGTTTAGGATGATATTTATTCCACGTTTTTATGACAAAAACTGAATCAGTTCAAAAATTCCTCCGGAAATACCACAGCCTTGCAACTTATAAGGAAAACGGGTTAGCCAAACCCTGTAAATCGCTATCAAGATGTCCAAATCCATAGTTCAAATTTCTTCAGCCGTATTTAAAGCTTGATAGATTCTTTCAGCGATAATGGTATATCAGCTGTAGACTTAGAGAAGCGAAAACCATATTTTTTGCCTGAAAGAACGCCCTACGATCTGAGTTGCTGAACTGATTCAGAGTTGATTAGGACCTCTAAAGTTC